AGAGTTAGACCAGAATTATTTAAATTGAGTGTTATGCCCAGCGCTTCAAGAGAATCATCCACTATGGCAGAAAGATCAATGGGTGAGTATATAATCGGATTACGAATAAAAACCATCATACCTCGAATGTTCGCCATATTAGAGTCAATTCGCAAGCTGTCAAAGCCACGTATACGAAAATCGTATCTTTGGCTTACGCATGTTTCAGCCAGAAAGAGGATGTCCATAGATTCCGCCAGCCTCTCGATATCTCCCTTCTTTCCGTGGGTTCCACGGCAGTTCCAGTACGCTATTTTTATAGATTGCAAATTAGACATAGTTGTGTAAGAAGGTTTTGAGTGAATCGAGGATGTTTTGGAATTCGGATCCGAAAATTGCTGTGAGGAGCGGAATAGGTATTAAATTCAGAATGTTCAATATGAAGGGCGCGATCGAGCGCATAAATTGTGAGAAGTCGTTGAAGTTAGTATAGTTTAAGGGAGGAGAGGAAAAAGGCGGTATAGGTGGGAAGGGGGGGAGGGGGAGAAGGGGGACGAAGAGGTAGGATAGCCGAGTCCGGGGGGAGAGAAGTTAGGGGTTCTACCGTTAGGTGAGAAAAGGTATGAGTTGTGAATCTCATGTATGGGGTCATGAGGATTCATGGTTCTATGAATCGATAGCTTGGAAGTATTTACAGGTAAATTATGATGATGGGTACGAGAAGTGGAAGAGAGGGAAGGCGCGTGTGGTTCAGAAGAGGGAAGGTGCAGTGATTGTGCGTTCGGAGAAGTGGAAGAAGATTTGCTGGTTACTGCCGCATAAGAGCGGTCCGGGATATACGGTCGACCATCTGATACATAGGAGCTGTGTGACTGTTCGGAAGAGATAAGGTCATTGTAATTGACGGTTTTGCGGGCTGAAAATGAAGGTTGAGGGAGAGAAGGAAAATCAGAGTGGTGAAAGGTATTAGGAGGTGAAGGGGGGTGCAGGGGGGGGGAGCCGAGTCTAAGGCGTGCCTCAGCGTAAGAAATATTATCCAAGGCCGCTGTTGCATAAATTTGCTTCTGTCTTAGATATGCAGGGCACGACGGGGAAGAAGGCAGGTGTTCCCCACCACAGTTGCAACAACATGGGGGAAGCTGCGACCGGGGACACTCCTCCGGCAAAGAATGTTTAGCATTCCCACAACGAGCGCATCTCGCTTTGCCCTTACATTCTGCGTTAACGTGGCCGTAACGAAGACACGAGACATTAGTACTCTAGGGAGATAAGGGTAAACAGGAAAGTTAACATGCAGGAAAGTGATCGCGCGGGGTAGGAATTGGCCTCGAAATTTAATAAGGATAGTCTTAGATGGAGAGGTAACGAGCTCACCGTCGCTGCGCGTTCTAATGTTGAGTCGTTTAGCTGACAAGATTTTGTATTGCGATGAGAATAAATTAACCACGTCGTTTTCGGAAATATCTAAGCGAACGTTACGAATAACGCCCGTTCGCAGTATGTTAAATGACGGGATGGATGCAATAAGACCGGCGTCCTTGATGTTCTGGTGCGTAAGCGCCTTATTTGCCGTCTCCATGTCCTCAAAATGAACGGCAACCTTGTTTCTATCCGCGGATTTTATTTCAAGTATTTTGCCGTTAGCGAAGCGTGAAACTATTCTCGCAACTGGTATCGGATCGAGGCGTACATCATTATTCGCATTGTCCATAGCGCGACGAACGAAAACAATAAACGGGGAGCGATCCCCTTTGTCATAGGTTATGTTGAGGTTATGGTCGGCATTAGAGCCCGTGTTCGTGACATTGGACATGGCCTTAGGCGCTCTCACATCTTCCTCAGATGACGAGGTTCTGGCACGCTTGTTTGGGGGGTTCCCCTTGGGTTGTCGACAATGATATTATTTGGAACCAATGAAGCCGACGACTGTATGCGGTGTCACAGTCGCTCGTATCCATGGAGGCGTCGTCCTCAAGAGGAGAGGGGGGGATTCAAGCACTGATTGTCGCGTACGTTCACCGGTGAACGGGACCGAGAACGTGGAAGCGATTGCGTAGATATGATCGAGGATGTGCGAGAATTGGGAGAGGGATCACGCGAAATACATTTAAGTGCATCATTCTTTTCTTTTTTCCCCTTCTTTTTCCCTATGTTCGCTTTTCCCGATGCGGATGATGTAGCAGGTAGCGACGGTTTTCGACCTTTGATCAATGGCGGAGGCATTAATTGTAAAGAGATCGGCCGAATATTCTCTTTATCACTGCCATGATCATCACTCACGTTCGCGCAAAAAGAGTCAAAGTCCTTTAGAGTAGCGGAGATCCGCTTATCATTATCAGGCGGGCCGCCGCCGGGATCCGGCGAGGCCATGACACCGTCCTGCATAGCAGGGACAAAGAAATTCTAGTAGCAGGCAATAAAGTATATACTCACGCTAAAAGGAAGAAAAAAGGTAAAAGGGTACCTCAAGGAGAAGAGTACCGTAAATACGGAAGGCAGGCCGAGGCCCAGAATGCACGGGAAAACAGCCAAAGGAACGTAGGCGCTAAGGAGAGACCACTACTCGAACCGTCGCGATCGACCGTCACACCACGCCATTATAGATGTCGATGGCACTCACTTGGGGTGCGTTCCGTTTCTCACATAATGCGCATAATGCGTCGTTTATCCTTGTTGCTCACCAAATGTTAAACAAGGACAATGGATGCATCATGCACATCATACGCGATACGGAACGCACCACTGATGTTGCTCGGTGCCAGTGGCTAGTAAATTTGCACTAGTGCTGAAACGGTGTGGTGTCAGTGATGGTATACGGGAATACGGGCCGCTTTTCTTGCGCACGCGCATCGGTAGAGTCACGTGAACCAATGGTGTCTCGCGCTCGCCTAGTCGCTTTAGCCGGCTCAGTTTCGTCTTCTTGGGCCGTGGCCGTGGGTGTCTGTGTTATGGGTGCAAAAGTCTAGTTTTGACGGGCTCAACGGAGGCACAAACACACACACACGCGCGCGCGCGCACACACAGGAGACAGGAGGTTAGAAATGTTTTAGGTAAGTATAAATCTATTTATTTCCCTATAAACACACAATATTTTTAGAATATTGAATGAATATTATTTACCCTTTTTAATATTCATATAACATTCTAAGAATAATGTGTCTTATAGGTTATTATTAATATTGTATTTATAAAGTTATTTTTATCTTTCCTTTTTTCCAGCTTATTTTCAGCCTGTTCTTAATGTTAAATTTGTATTAAATAAAAATATATAATATATTATATTTGATGGGTGATTACAGCACTCCTTCTTACTCGTATTAGATACTTCACTGAGAGCGCATACGCCGCGCATGCGCACGAAAAGCGGCCTGTATACCATCACTGGCTGCGTTCAGCAAACTCAACAGTTGAGTGAGCGCCCGCTGTTATTGGTGTATTCTTTTAGATCGTCCAACCAGATTTTAGATCTAGAAAAATACATCAATAGCAGCGAGTGCTCACTCAATTGTTGAGTTTGCTGAATGCAGCCATTGTATGGTGTATGCGATCCGAGTGTGGTTTTACTTGCCTTGATTCAGA